AATTATTTTTTTTTTTTTTTTTTTTTTTTTCTGCCTGCAAAAAGCTTCCACAGTCAACTATGTATTTGGTATATGGATCATCAAATTTATCACTTTTATTCTTATAAACCTATCATTTCACTTTAAGCTAAAATACAATTTCTACCACTAAATTTACAAGCAAATTACATTATGTAAAGATACAACACCGACTTCAATTGAAGATTCCAGATTTTTGTGGATTTTTCCATTCCATATTTTACTTCCAATTTATTGAACCTTTTTCTTCATAGAAAAATTCTCTAGAAGATGAAAGTAGTTTCTATCGCCAACATTATGTAATTGTACAGAGGAAGTAGCCACCGACTTCAGCACCTATATATATACATGTCCAGCTGTGTTTTGTGTATGAAAGTGAAGTGAGAAAAAGACAGAGAATGGTGATAGAAGAGGGGGCAGATGGTAGTGTGTGGAGAGAGATCTTTTGAGTAAATATAAGATTAGATAGTTGGCTTATAAGTGTCCAAAATTTGTAAAATTCTATTTCATCAATAAAATCTATTTTGTTGTCTAAATTCAACAACTTGGTATCAGAGCCAAGCTGGTTCGGGAAGGATTTTTGAGCTTCTTGAGTTCGTACACAAAAGGAGTTTGTGAAGCTTTCATAAAGTTTGCTTGATTACAAAGAAATAAATTAAGTCACGATGAATGACCTACAAGCTATAGGCGGAGTAAAGAAATCCAATAATCAGAACTACACCACATGGCAAACTTGCGTGGAGTTGTATCTCCAAGGACAAGACTTGTGGGAGGTAGTTGGTGGAAGCAACTTGATGTCACCAGAGGAGGTCGAAGCTCTAAAGAAATGGAGAATCAAAGCGGGTAAGACTTTGTTTGTTATAAAGACAACAATCGAGAAGGAATTGTTGGAGCACAAAAGAGACAACACTACACCAAAGAAACCATAAGATAATTTGGCCTCACCGTTCTTGAAGAAAAACGATCTGATGTTACAATTGCTGTAGAACGAGCTATTCTCGATTACTCAAGAGGAATTAATAGTAAGTCAATATTTTAATAAAGTTAAATCATTTTGTTGCGAAATTTCAAAGTTAGATTCTTCAAGTAAGATTTTAGAGTCTCGAATGAGAAGAATAATTATACATGGATCGAGATCCAAATTTAAAAGTTTCATTACCACAATACAAGGTTGGCTGGAGCAATTTTCATTAGTTAATCTTGAAAATTCGTTGGCCGATGAAGAAGCATTAATTAGACAAATGTTAGGAGTCTCAATAAATAAAGAAGAAGAAGGATCATTATATAGTTATAAAAACAGAGGGTGGCTCTATCAACAAAATAACAAAGAATTAAAGGAAAATAAACATGAAGAGAGTTCAGTGACAAGGGGAGCCAAACCAAGTTGCTTTAAGAGAGGTCGGCTGTCCAAGAGATTTCAACAAAATAATGGCTTCTGCTTTGTATGTGGAAAACGAGACTATTATGCTAGAGACTATTGGTTTAAAAAAGATTCAGCAGAAGGCAATATAGCTACCTCAAACTAGTAAGAGAGGTATAATAGTGAAGAAGAATGGGATACTGACGCAACAATGACAATAATGGAGTAGACTTGAGAGAAAAAATTAAACTCAAGTGTGAATGATGAATTAACATCAGTGGTAGTCTTGTTTGAGCAAATAAATTATGAATATGATTGGGTTGATGACCTAGAAGAGGATATCATGGTTCATGAAGAGTCTTCTTGGTGGTCTCCGTAGAGGGATGAACTACCAGACTTTGAAGAGACGTTTGAAGAAGTATATCCTTTGGAGATACCACAGAGAGTGGGGCAGACACTAAAGAGGGTAGATCTACTAGATTCAAAGGAAATGGTATACAAATTACAAGAAGATATCACAAAAGCGCAACGAAGTCCCAAGAAAACAAATGATATACAAAGATCAAGTGACGAGAAGAAGTCTAATAGCGTAATGTAAAATTCTAGGCAAATAGATGTGCATCAGATAACACCAGATAAAAGCTAAGTTAATAACAAGATATCTAGGTACGTACAAATGCATGGCCACAGATAAGGAAGTCGAAAAGACGTGAGAAATTAAGTATCAATTATCCCAATTTAGAAATTGATGGAGGGGAAAGTATGGAAAAGCCATACATACTTGAAGCAGTAGACGCGTCGAATAAATGATCGAACACTTCAAAATTCATGGATGCAAAATTGAGCATGACGAAAAAGAAAATGGTTAAAATGAAAAGTTGATGCTGAAGAGTAGAATTTAATATCATCACCAACTTTAAAATCTAGCATTTTCTAGTCAATACACCATTAATTTACCCACATGCACTTTTACAATCTATATGTTAGAAGATTCTAGTAGCCATTTGTAACTTTATCTTATTACTAAAGCTAGAAGGATCTAGAATCGTAATCACCAACTTGTATTTTTATAAATAGGGGATGGTGCATGGCGAAATGTGTGTGAAGAGAGTGAGAGCAAGAAGAAAAAGTAAGAAAGAGGGAGATAATGAGGCAGTGTAGTGTTTTGGTAAGGAATGTTTCCATAAAATCAAAATGTGTGTAAAATCTATTTCATAAATAAAATAATATATTTCTTTAAGTCTTAAATTCTACATTATACACCAATTAGTTGGATACATATGAAAATGCCATCAATCGAGTTTAAGTTATGAAAAAATTTGTCAAAAGTTGCACCACAAAACTAAGGCTTTGTTTAGAAAAAATTTTGACAGTGACTTATCAATCCATCGCCCATCACTATCAATAATGTCATCGATGCCACCTTTTCAAACCACTCTATTTGCACTACCAACCACTACCAAAATAAGAAATCCACCACCAAACAAAATCTAAACCCTGAAACTTACTGCTACCACCTCTGAGAAGGATGGCAGAACATGGAGCCGAGGACATGCCATCGATGGACTTTAAGGAAAGTACCCACACAAAAAATCTACCAACTTTTATGTCCTAAACTACAAGATCAAGAATAGAGTTCCAAACCCAAACACGGTTCATCTTGACTTTCTAACTTCATCCTATCTTCGACCAAGTGGGTAGTAGCACCTGTTTATGCCAACGTTGGCCACGTGCTACCCGTAATCGCTGGCACTACCAAGACTTGAAATTTTAATTCAAATGACACAACATCACCACCACCCTCACAAAAATCTAGCCCTTTAGAACCATTGAAGCTGTAAATAATGACGAGCGAGGTCGAGTTGGCCGTTTGACAAATCCAATGAGGATAGGTCGCAAGGCTAACATTGAGGGCAAATTGGGGTGATGGGACGGTAGGGGTAGGATAGAGCAAAGAATGGGAGCTTTTGATTTTGGATATTTTGAAATCTTGGGGTACAGGATATAGGAGCTACTCTTTTGCTAAAAGGAAAAGCATAGAGCATGCGTGCTCAGTTCTCATCGTCATCCCATCCATGAACCAAAGTAGGGTAAAAGCGTAACCCCCGATGTCATAGGTTACTTTCTATCTTGATTTTTGAAATTTGTCTATGCTTGGGTCCCATTTCTTAAAATCATTTTTCATCATACATTCTATGAAATTCATAACTTTTATTAATTTTTCAATCACACATTTTATCAAAACCAAACATGGGCATATACATCTACCTGATTTTTCATCTCTTAATGTAGTTGCAAGGTTGAGCCTAATTTTATTTTATTATTATTATTATTTTATTGGAATTTTCAAGCTTTGGCAATCATATCACTTACAAATTCATATTAACTATTAAGCCCCGTTTGGCCCCCATTTCTCAAAAGAAATTGACAACAATAACTCTAATTGAAGTTAAAATCCGATGGTAGATTCTTTCCATATTTTCATATTTAAAACCATTTTTAGTTAATTTAGAGTGTCAAATGAAAATAAATTCTTCTCTAAAGTGATTCTATTTTTTATGATATTATATGCATAAATTCATATGCATATCGTTGAATTTTAATGTAAAATATATATTAAAGTTCGTCTTCCACAATTTAATTTTATTGTACTTGGATACTAAACAATTTGAACTGAATTTTTTGCATCTTCGAAGCGGATTCTTCGTCTTCCTTCTCGTATTTGGAATAAAAAAACTTTATGTGCAAATAAATACTCCAAAATTTTCCCTATAATTTTTGATAGAGTAAAAAGAGAATAAAGTTAAAATATTTGTTTTCTCCAACGTTGAACAATAATATCCAACTTAATTGTCATAAAATATATGGTCTTGAACAATAACTAATAAAAAAGTTAAATTGCTTATTTGAGTAAATTAAGATTAGGTTCTCTAACTTTTCACATGACATGGTTACGAATTTTCAACCTTAAAAAGTGATGTTTTGACATGGTATATGAAATTCAAATTTCCTGCGCATCCAAAGTCTCAACTTCTGTAAGGTTGATAAACCTAACCCTAATATAACCCACTATTAGAATTAGGGATATCTTTTAAAATAATAATCCGTTTGGTCCCCATTTTTTGGTAATGAAAATAGGATAAAATAGTGTTTTTTTGAAAAATGAGTAGTTGAAAAAGAAGGAAAATTTTCGATTTACGTGTAATATTATTTTATGGAAGATTATGTGGATAAAAATAGGAGAGAGAAAAATAGAATGTAATGCAATGTAGTTTAGCCCCTGTTTGATTCCATTAAATTCAATTACATTACATTCCATTTTTTATGTCTCCTATTTTTAACCACACAATTTTTCAAAAAATAATATTACACGTAAATCGAAAACTTTTCCATTTTTTCAACCACTCTTTTTTCTAAAAAATATTTTTCCCTCCCATTTTCATTTTCAGGTAATGGGGGTCAAACGAGGGCTTAATGGGGGCCAAACGAGGACTAAGTAACTTTCTCACTAAAATAAGGAAAAAATTAAAAATAAAATCCAAACAATACCTTTTCACATCCCAAAAACCACAAAAATGAAAAATTCCAAATCTTTTATAATCGTGATTTATTCCTATAGATTACCGAAACAATCCTTTGAAATAAACGGTCTCTCTGTTCGCTACCCCCAACCTTCGCCTCACCCTCACACTTTCATCCGGAAATTTTTCCATAGCGTGCGCCCCTTCGTTTTGTATTCTCGATGGCTTTTCTTTTATAAAGAAATAGTACATACAAAGAGGGCAGTAGAATAGCTGGGAAGAAACGCATCTTATTTTTACCAACAAGATCGCTCCTTTCATCTACCTTTCTTTTATTCTGGTTTTTCTCTCGACCTATCTGATTGTTTTGCTTATTTTTCTTGATGATCAGTTTGTTTTTACTTTTATTTTGCTAAATCACATGAATTTCTCTTTTACAGGTTTTTTTTTTCTTTTTTCCTTTTTTGAGCTTGAATGTGGAAAAAGGATCTGTGAATGTATTTTCATTTTCTTTATTAGCCTGAAATTTATAAATTTTGCGTGCGAGTTTGTTATTAATTTTGTAGGATATGTTATCCGATCCTTAAATTTTTGAGTTTCCATGATGTACAAGTTTTTAGCTTTTTATGTGTTCTTTTATGATGAATTTGTTTGGTTAAAGGAATAAGATTTGGTGATTTTCGCAAAGTTACAATCTTTATCTTCTTCCTGGATTTCTAAAGTTCGTTTTCCATTTTCATTCGCGCTTGGTTCATACTTTATCAAAAAACGTCAGTTGTGATTATATAACTTTCCATCTCTACTATTCAATTCCGAAAATTTCGAAACTTTATATATTTAGTTCAGTCTGTGTAGTTACATGCTGTCAATTATACCGTTCTTACAAATTGCATCTACATGCTGTCAATTATCAAATCATTTTCGTGTCTGTGAACTGAATTTGAAATAGCCAGAGATATGAATTAGTTAGTTATAATCTGATTGTGGAGCCCATTGGATACATCGTAGTTTTTCATGTGTATTAATGGTGTTCTTTCATAGTATTTTTGATGAAAAAGTTAAGTTGTACTAGAAGAGTTAGCAAAAATACAGTGTAATGACAAAACACAGTGCTTTATTTGACTTGTTTCAAGGACTCATATCTCATGAAGTTGCATTCTTTGATGTTAATTTTGGACTCTGAAGCAAAATGATGTCTTTTTCTTTACACTCACTGCAATTAGTTTGTGAAGGAATGCTAAAAGCAAAGAGTGATTGACATGTCTTAATCCTTGTTTTTGGAGAAAAATGTTTATGTATTTGAACTTCTATGGCATTTCTGAATTACTGAACTAATTTGCAGTTGCTGTTATTCAAAGAGTGACTCTATCAGGTCTCTTCTTTCTGTAGGTCTACCCGAGAACTGAATTGCACCTTCTGATCTCAATATATTCTCAAGTACGCATCTATGTCCCGGATGCAAGGCGAAAGGGTCCTCGATTCCTTTCCTGATACAATTGATCTTAACCAAGGGTCTTTCTCTAATAATGATACTGTGGATCATTCGGCTGCTTGGGATGACTTACTAAATCCAGTCGAGAGTCAATTGCCAAATTACATGCTTTCCTCCAGTGAGGGAAATATTAGTTGCGTAAATGCTGTTAACAGTCATACCAGGAGTGTCAGTGGCTGGGATGTAGGTGAATCCAGTTCCTTAGCAAATAATCCGCAAAACGAAGTCCACAGCGATGTTTCAAGAATGAGACATGGTTGGTCGTCCTCTTTCAATGCTTTTTCTGGTGCAGATGCAAGAACAGAAGATTGGTCTTTTGAATCTGCTAACGTCATCAGTGCTGGTTACGGAGGCAATCAGGCAACTAGCAGATTCCCGAGTATGCAAAATTATGGTTCAAATCTTGGTTCACAAAATATGAATTATGGGTACAATGGTGAGAATGATGACCAGAGAGGTATTGAAGCAGGTCAATTGCCTACCTTCTACAAGTTTAGCCAGTCAGAGTCACGGCAGATTCCTAGTTTTCATGCTTCTTCCAGTACTAGAGGAACTTCTTCTGGTATTTTATTGGAAAATGACGATACCCCAGGTCCATCTTTGGATACTTGGGGTTTATCCTGCAAGAGAAAGGATCTTGAAGGTACTTCCCGACAATTTTACCCAGGTGGAAGCTCAAGCACGGGTCAATCAATGGAGAACATAATGCGGCACTCTGTTCCTTTTCGTTATACCGCACCTGGAAGTTTAAGTATATCATCGGACCCTGGCAACTTAACTAGAGCTAGTCATTCTGAACAAATAAATCCGAGTGGGGTTGGATTGAATAGAGTAACCTCTGGAATTCTTCCCTCTTTAAGTGTTCCAGGGATTAGAGAAAGCCCGGCTAGAAGTTTTGGTGTGAGATCGAATCTTGGACACCGGTCCGTATCATTTGATGCACCCATATGCTCTGGTGGAAGGCATTCTAGTGTTTATGCAGCACAGCCACCCTCAAGACATATTTCAAATATTGATTCTTCAGAAGTTAGACCACAATTTTCTTTTCCAACAAATCCAAGCAATTTGGTCAACCAATCTCATACAATGCATATGTCTGAGGCAAGACGTACGCTTCCATTTCCTTGGAATGGATCTCCCAATTCACAAAGGGGCAGCTCATCTAGTTCTTTAATGTTCACTGGAGAAAGGAATTCTGCAGTGAACGAAGATGTGAGTTTTAGAAACCCTCTCAGAAACAATGCTGAGTTTCCGTCGTTTGTTTCTATTCCAGAGACAAGAAATATGTTGCAAGACCAAATTGATTGGAGTTTTGTTCCTGAAACTTCTGGTTCTTCTAGAAATCACTCTTCTGGTTCTCGGATTGGCCCCAGTTCTAGTGTGCGAACTTTCCCCCCAGTCTGGACTCCTCATCAGAATCCAACAACCCAAAATCAGCAAACATCATCAGAATTTGGCCTCCGGGCTCCGGTCCCAGTTGTTGAGCCTGATACTGGAATTCGAAGAAGTCATTTATCAGCCATGTCTTCAGCCTCTGTAGCAACTAGTAGCCAGGTTCGCAACCAATCTGATCAAAGGTCAGCATCCTTGATGGCAGTTCCGGGTGGTGATATTAGTGGTTGGCATGCTTTAGCTGCTGATAGTGATGGGAGACAAATACTGGTATGAATTTGCGTACCTTTATATGACAATTACATTTTGGGGGCTAGTGCTTATGTAGTGTATAGTTTATGTGTGCGCTTCTGTATTTGTGATTTATGCTTGTTTATTTTGGGGAAAGTGCTGAATCTCATAATGTATTTCGTCTATCTAAAAAGCCCAAGAAACTACATTGTGTTAAAAACTGAAGTAGTTATCTTACTAGCCTTGACACTGTCAATTAGCATCAGTACAAACACTAAATGCCCTAATATGATAAATCTTTAATGGAAGGTATAAGTTGAAAATTTTCAGTTAATACCAAATGAAGATCTTTTCTTCACCAAATTATAATTTCTACTTTGTGGGTTTTTAAATAATTAATATAATCTTTGAATTTTTTATAGAAGAAATTTTGAAGGTCATTCTAGGATTTTTCCCTAGGAAGCACTGACATGGACATAGGTGTTGGATATGACAAGATACGGACATGGCAACATATAGTTTTTCAAAAAATTTACTAACACGACACGTCCTCAACATATCGATTAGAGTAATATATTGATGTTTTTTTATTTTCAAAATTTTCCTTGTATTGTAAAGTAACTTTATTTTTGTTAATTTCTGCATACCGATAATGTATTGACAAGTGTTGGCAATATATTCCCGATGTGTCAGCAATGTATGTGATGAGGACATGTGCGGCCCGAATCCTTGATTATTCGAAAGTCACTAAATAAAACTTAATTCTTTCATAAGAACTAAAATAAGAACATGAAATAAATTTTTTTATTTTTCTTCAATAAGTAAATAAATTTTGGTTTTATCATGTAACTGCGAAAAATGAAAGAAAGAAAATAATTCCAAAGTAACAATTAAATTTGAAATTCAAAGTTGTGTTTTAAACACAACACAATTTATTAATTCTAGTCTTATTGTCGTCTCCATGTTGACTGTCTCGAACTATCAATTGCTTGAAAGGGGGAATTATCGTAGAGTGAGATTTATAAAATCTCAATAAGCACGCCATGAATTATTATTATGTATAATTAAAAGAGCATAATAGTCATAATCAGCATAATAGAGACATAAGAATTTTATCGAACATAGGTGGTAAGAATTTTTATGTGTAGCGCTACTAAACTCCGATCCTTTTAACACAATCATAATCATATCATAGCATATGAGACCCATAATAATTTTCTTGAAATTTATAACATAACAATAATTCAGCATAAGTAGCGTACTTACAGTGAAATTTGAAGGAAAGAATAATAGAGACTTGATCCCTCTACAATTTCCATCTCGGCTTATGAATGTGTGTGTGTATATTATTTGGATAAAAAATCATAATAATGAGTGGTAGCATATGAATGTGAGTGAGGGGTTTAAATAGAATAAGATTAGGCATGCATCTTTAAGGAAAAAATTATGATGGTGAAAATTGTCCCTTGAAATTTGTGAAATGAGCAAGAATCTCTCCATCATTCCTACATTTATGCATTCACACTATAAATTACCTTATGTTTGGTCAATCAATCAAGCATAAATCAAGAATTTTACCTTATATTTGGTCAATCAAGCATAAATCAAGAATTTTCTATGTAAGTGTTTGACCAAGAATTTAATAAAAAACATGTGGGAATTAGCACTTATGGTAAGTTTGCTACAAGGTCCTAGAAGGTGGATTAACCCTCAAATGAGTTCCTAAATTTTCAATTTTGATAATTAGACCTGGAAATTCGGTTGCAAGTATTATAGGACATCATCTATTTTTATTTCTAGTTGGACTTTATTTTGTTTTGTGGACTTTATTTTTGTTTTGGATTCTCATTTATGTAATTGGGCTTGTATTGGTCCAAGTCCGTTTTAGTTAGGGTTTTATTTTTACTATTTAAACCTAAATTGGCATGTAATTTCGCTCAGTTGATGAAAGAATAAAACTTTTGGTGGCATGGGGGGAAATTTTTCTCTTCCTACTTTTTTCTTCTTCTTCTTCTGTTGAATCTTCTTCTTCCTCCATTCCCCCCCTTAATTACCTCTCCCTTGTAGATTTGTTTTATTTCTCCATCAATTGTCCAGTTGGTGCTGCATCATAATGTCTCAGCATGTAGGCAACGTGCCCAACCGAACAAAACCAAAAAATAATTGCAACACTCCCCTTGGCATATCTACAACGTGTCGGTATCATGTCAATGCTTCCTAGACTTTTCCTCCTTTGTCATGATTCCTCTATGTGCTTGACTGCATTTCAGAGTTATATATTGGCTTTCTTCCTTCTATTCTTTCTCACCTTTTCAAGAAGCCAATTTAAATGAGTTCCAACTTTTGAATATTATTTGTCTTTCAAACTCCTTGCTTGCCTGCCTATTTACCTTTTCTATAATTGCTTCATATGTCAAGGTTGTATGTTGATTAGCTTCTCTATACAATTCTCATTATTATATTCTAGTGGTCTTTCGTCATTATTTCATGATCAAATACTAAATATCTGACATAATTGTGCTTAAGTATTTTGTACACAACACGTCCTTAGAATTAGATTGATTGCAAAAATATCGCAAAATGATTCCCAACCATTCTCCAAAATCCAAATAAATAATATCACACCTGTCAGTCCCTCCCTAAAAAAAAGGCACCATTTTCATTGTCATATGGCCATGCATCCTTTCCTTCGACTTCTGGTACTCTTACTTTTGTAAGCAAATGGTATCACACTAGAGTACAGTTTTGCCTTCTTCATGGTCAGCTCACAATCCGAATGCAATGAAAATATAAAGCCATCAAAGTTGTTTTGTTGTTTTACTACTGTGTGTTATATTAGCATAACGTGGTATCTTTGTGAGAAACTGATAATCTTGAAGCTTATCATTCTTAAATAGCTGGATTCTTGGAAAAATTACTTTCCAAATGCCCCCAATAAAGGTCAATCCCCAGAACCTGGCTCCAAAAATTGAATCTTCTTACTCATATTATGGATTTAGAAAATCTTGCTATCCTGATTTAAAGGCTAAAGTCCACGTTTGGCTTAGCTTAAAAACTTTACATGATAAGTTTTAAAATAAATGTATTTTGTTGGTCTAAGTTGGAAATTACTTCTTTTGGAAAGTAATCCCTACCTTATTGTAAAAGTAAGTAACTATTTTTCCTCAATCTTGAAAAATTTACTCGAAACAAATTTGACTCACTTTCAAGCTTAGCCTATCATGCCATAAATCAGGAGAGGGTCAACAATTTAAAGAACCTCATACCCTGAACCCTAGGTTCCTCATGCATTGGATTGTCGTCTTGAACTCATAACTCTTGTGACTGTAATTAATGGCAAGATTTTCTTTTGAAGTTCATTGCTACTTGAATGAGAAGTGTGGGTTAATATATCATTTGTAGAGCAGAGAGAAAAGTAGTCCTTTCTTGTGTTTAGTAGTTCTCTTTAGGGCTTATTGGATGATGTTCTCCAAGAGGGTTTATTTGCCATTCCAGATTTATGTGCTTTATCTGGGGCATGAGAAGCAGATGTTGTGTACTACTCTGTCACGTAGCTGTTCTACTCCAAGCTGAGTGTTTGACTGAAATTACTGATCTTTTGAAATAATGCATAATAATAAAATTTAGAATATTTAATTTATTTGTTTTATTTTTGCTTGCATCTATTGTTAGCGTTTGCTAGAAAGCATCCTACATATGGAACAAGCGATTGATTGCTCATCGCTATAATCACTAGATTATGGGGTTGTTTGAGTCTTATTCTTTTCACAAAAATGCATTTTTTAATATTATTATGATGGAGAGTGTATGGTTAAACAATAAGGAAAAGTTTTGGGTTTGCATGTAATATTAATTATTGAAAAATGTGTGGTTGAAATGAGGTCAAATCACTGTTTAAGAATGTATTTTGATAGAAAATGGGGCTCAACAAGGGCTATGTTATGTGTAAGAACTTCCTTTCTTAGTAATATGAGCAAACGTAACAATAAAGATTTGCGTTACTTTGGATTTCATGGTAACAGATGCTTAATTATCTTGCAAGTTAATTTGTGGATGAAAAAATTTATAATTTGTACCATTTTCTAAGGTATAGTTTTAGGACTTTTAGAATTCAAATGATAAAAGCCTTAGTTATGGAGAACTTTTTGTACTTATCCAGCAAGTGATAACTGCATGTTCATGGCTGTGCATATGGCCTATCTTAATTGAACCTTGTTTTGGTACTATTAAGTTTCACATTTGCACTTTCTGTCATGCAGGATTCATTAAAAGTAAGTTTTGTTGGTAAGAATATAACTACTAATTTTTGAGCATAGCCAAATGTGCTCATTATCCCAGTCCCAAGTTTAGTGATATTCATTGATAAAAGACATTTACTAAGAAAATAAGAGCACGTTGCCGTATACTCTTATGCAGCTTTATAAATGTGAAATGCTTTTGATTTCCAAATATTGTTAAACTTCTGTGATATGCTCTTTTTTCTTTTTTTTTTATTTTTTTTTATTTTAGTGTTCTTAGATGCTGTCATACATGAATGCAAAAGGATTGATTTTAATGTACGGAAACTTTTATTCTTTTGTTAAAAGAAAGAATTAAAAAACTGTAAGCAGTGAAGAAGGGTAACTGTTTTGATTATTCTTACTTTGGTGTAACAGATACGCCATTTCTTGCATGCAATGCGGAGCGGGGTCCACAACTTACGATCAGAGGTTTGCTTTAGATTTCGGTGATGATTAATGAATTGTTATTAATGTATTGAGATAATACTCTGCGACAAGTTGAAGTATATTTGCAATGCGTCAACGGCTGTGTTTTCGTGATTTTTGTCTGTCGAGAAAAATACATGCAATCAGATTCGGTACCAATGAGATATTTGGCTAAGCTTAATAAAATGTAGAAGTTCACTACCTAATATGTTTGGGCATGTTACATTTTCCTTACTTTCATGTAAAAAAGTTAATAATAAAGTAATCTTGACCTTATTCTTATTATAAATAAACTTATATTCAACTTTGACCAGAAAAAAACTTAATTATTTTGAAACTTAAAAGCAAATGTTTTAAGGCTTAGCCAAACATGCTTTTAGATTTTTATTATTACTAGTCTATGTTTGGGGGAAGACAGGTGATACTGATATGTCATACTTTCTTATCAAGGATTATATGCTATTAGACCCTTTTATAAATGGATTTGCTGAGATGAACGACAGGCATGGAGATATGAGGCTCGATATTGACAATATGTCTTACGAGGTAATTTAGTCCCCTTTTTTGTCAGATTTTTCCTTTACGGTTTCTATCGAAGGGAAGAAAAACCTTTAACAGATGGTCATATAAAATCTTCACAAACTTGAATATTAGGAACTTTTGGCTTTGGAAGAACGAATAGGGAATGTAAGCACAGGATTGAGTGAGGAAAAGATTTTGCGTTCTATGGAACAGCGGAAATATGAACCATTTGGATCGTCGCCAAATTCGGAGCCCTGCTGTATATGTCAGGTAAAAGTTCGCCACCCCATCACCACTGGCGGCATCCCTCTGTCCCCGCCACTATTTCACGTTCCATATTCATAGTACTAGACCTAGTTTAAAATTTTTGATTTTCCCTCAATTTGATCAGGAGGATTACATTGCTGGAGATGGTATCGGGATATTGGATTGCAGGCACGAGTTCCACACCAAGTGCATTAAACAGTGGTTGAAGCTGAAGAATCTGTGTCCCATCTGTAAAACGACAGCCTTGGATACTTGAAACAAGACGACATTCCATTTCCATCTAAAAGCTTGTACAGTTGGTTCTCAAGAATTTTATTCTGCTATTTAAAATATTTTCATCCTGCAATTTAGAAACTATGCACGTTCATACCATAAGTTGAAAGTAAGACAAGACTTTTTCTTTACCAACATTTTTTGTTCTTCCGACAGACATTTGACTAAATCTATGGCAATAAAGACCTTCAGACAATTTCTGGTCGCAATGTTGGTCATGGAAAGACCTTTATTAATATTAAAGCTAGACAGATTTTTTTTCATGCAATTTTTTGTTTTTAAATATGTAAATACATGTTATTCTTTGCTGAACACTTGATTAAGGCCTGTTTGTGGCCCTTTAATTTCAAAAATTGGAGTATAGAATAGTGATTGATGATGAAATGTGTGGTTGAAAAAGAAGGAAAAGTTTTTGATATATGTGTAATATTATTTTAATGGAGAATGTGTGGTTGAAAATGAGTACCGTAGAAAAAATAAAGTGGTAAAATATGGGAGAATGGTTGACAAACAAGAGCTTAGGTCAGAAGCTTTTTTGTGCAAAAATTACTTATTTTATCGTACCAGTGTAAACTAATAACCATTCGTGGCCTACCACCTCACCCTGTATCGAGCAGTTCAAGTTTCTACGGGATACTCTTCCAGAGATAAGAATTATCCCTCCACACACTGCTTGCATGAATGAACATCGGGGAAAATACTTCACGTAAGACGCAAGCGAAAAATGAATATGGTTATGTCACGATTGTTTGGCCAAGAGTGCTTAATTAAAAAAGTGCTAAGTTTTTGAAATTGAGGCCTCCACGTATATTCAATTTACATACTTCAATCATCTCATGAATTGTTTTTAGTAATTCTCTAATTTGAGTATGAAATCATTTCAAACGTAAGAAAAACAAAGATAATTTTTCTCAACTGGAACATGTTTCAAGTTAACATAATTTTTTTCAAACATATTTTTTCAACTTTACCGAATTATCTCTTTTCCAGTATTCCATCCCCAGATACTGACCGGGAAAACTGCCAAAACCCAGCAATTTTCATCCATTGCCAATCTGAAGTTCTGATAACATTTCGAGCCAAGAAGATAACAACCAAAAGAGAATGAAAAATCTCTCGCTCTTGTTATCGCTGCACACTCCCAAGATTCCAGTACCCAATTCCGCCACCAATTTTCACTCCTTCCCCTTAATGCAAGCTGGAGTCCAAAACCCCAAACGACCAAAATCCTCTGTTAAGCAACGCCCTTTGAAACCCACCAAAACCCTCTCCCCAGCTCCCATCACCGTCTCGCCATCTTCAACTCCTCCCAAAAAGGTCTCTTTTGTTCATATCTCTTTGGAAAAGGAAGAGTTGTCGGAGTTTCGGTGTTATTTTATGGTTTAAGATTTCGGGTGTATTGAATTTTTTAGTTTTTGAAATGGGCTTTCGTTACAGGTTCTGATATCCTCGATAAAAAGGTCTTTTTTGTATTCATATCCTTTTGAAAATAAAGAATGATTAGAGTTTTTATAATATCTTATAATTCTTAATTTTTCGAAATTGGCTATTGTTATAGGTACTGATATCGTCCTCATAAGGTCCTTCTTTGAAAACGAAGAATGGTTGGAGTTTTTTAATGTTATGATCGAGAATATATACTTCTTGAATTTTAAAGAACTTGGGAGTTTTATTGTAGGTTCTGGTGCCGATGGGGTTTGGCACAGAAGAAATGGAAGCAGTGATTACAGTTGATGTTATGCGCCGCGCAGGTGCTGTGGTGACCCTAGCATCAGTGGAGGAGAAACTGGAGGTTGAGACTTCTGGAGGTACCTTGCTGGTTGCTGACACGTTTATTTCTGCTTGTTCTGATGAGATTTTTGATCTTGTCGCGTTGCCGGTCAGTTGTAAATTCGTTGTGCATTGCATTGCTATTTATCACTTCTTTGCGTCTCTTTTTATTTCTTTACTTGTAAAGCATGCTGTCATTTTCCTCCCTCAAATTTCTTCAACTTAAATGGCAAAGTACGTGTTTAACAGCCATACATTTCAATCAATATTCTGGAATATTTAGTTCAAAAGTAATCCTGTGAACTTCTTGATGACTGAACCTACAATATATGATTAGGGAGGAATGCCCGGCGCTGCACGTTTACGAGATTGCAAAACTCTCCAGAGTATAATGACCAAACAGGCTGAGGAAAAGCGGTTGTTTGGTGCAATATGTGCTGCTCCAGCAGTCACACTTTTGCCTTGGGGACTACTTAGGAGAAAACAGGTATCTTGAATTAGTTGATAATTAATTATATTCATTTACATGTGTGCATATAATATGATTTCATTTTGGGTTAGCTAATTGGCACATAGTTTTTCCTTTTAGACAACCTGTCATCCTGCATTTATGGACAAGCTTCCCACCTACTGGGCTGTTAAATCAAATATTCAAGTTTCTGGAGAGCTAACAACTAGTCGTGGTGCTGGCACTTCATTCGAATTTGCTCTATCATTGGTGGAGCAGCTCTTTGGCGAGTCGGTTGCCAAGGAAATTGGAGAATCGTTGGTAACGTTATTTTTAGTCATTTATAATTGTGATTTTATATAAGTGGCTTGATTTATTTGCGTTTCTCATTTGAAACTATGCCTATGTTTGGTGTAGCTTAAAAAGTTGATAAAAATCTTAGTCAAAGTTACCACTTAATTTTAAACAGGAATTTCATGGACCCATAACTTTTATTTATTTTTTAACCATACATTTCATCAACTTCTACTAAAATCTACCAAAAATCTGAATCTTGGCTACAACAAACAGGGGCTATATTTCCTTTAAATTTTTTTATTTTTATTTTTTGGTTCAAAATGTAGATGAAGGACATGTTGTTGTAATAACTGCTTGTATTGGGAAACAAGTTAACAATGAAACAACACATCAAACTAAATGTTTTGGTTTTGTCATGAGTGAAGTGCTAAACTTGTTTTTGGGAAGTTTAAGACTAATCTTATAGTAAGGTGTTTCGGTTTTCTCTATGATTATTTGATCAGTATAGAAAGAAACAGAGATATGTCCACTTTTCTTGGTCATATTATGTTCCTAATCACATTTGAAAAAACACAAATGAGATTTAACAAGAAGCACCAAAGGAGAAATCAAAATTTAAAGAGCTAGCCTTTCAATTGTAGTCATTTTTAACTACATAACATGAGTTAAATAATTTTTGGTTCATCATTTAATGATCTTGAGATTTTGAATGCTTGTCTTTTGTGCTATTGTTATCATGTAATCTTCCATTATCTGCTTCTTTATGCTCTTTGCATAATTAACTTGATCTAACGGTTATTTTTCTCATTTTTGTAGTTAATAAATGTTGCTGACAATAATTCTAGAAAAGAAGAATTCAATGAAGTTCCGTGGTCCCTTGATCACACCCCTCGAGTAAGTGTTTATATTTACTACTCAATCTATGATCTTTCATGTACCAAATTTAGATTCGACACTACAGTTACCTACTCTTTATGTCACCTAACCATTTCCCAGTCAAAAACCATTCAATACTACTATTTTTTTATGGTTCTTGGAAAGAATAGAAACATTAATACAATAGTGGTTATTTTGAGTCAATATATTATTAAGGGATGCATAGATTGACAATTGATAAATGCAAATCTTTGTTCTCCAGCATATTTGGTTGGGACTGAAAGTAAGAGTTGCTTTTGTGTACCTTTTTGTTTTCAAACGTGTTTGAGAAGATATTTTTTTCTCACTTTTAAAGTAACTCTTGCCATCATGTGAAAATAGGTGTTTCTTTTCAACTTTGATCATTAAAAATTACTTAATTTTAGAACGTACTTATTTACTTATAAGAGAACTTTTGAAGCTCAGCCTAGTGCCTCATGCCACTTCCTGACATCCTTTGCAAAATCTATGACAAGTGTCTTGTGAATATTCATTTTGTTCTACTGTCTTCAGATTTCAATTTATCTCTCCCTTCAAATTTCACAGGTTCTCATTCCAGTTGCAAATGGTTTGGAAGAAATTGAACTGGTCACTATTGTAGATATTCTTCGACGAGCAAAGGCGAATGTTATAATTGCTTCAGTGGAAAAATCTTTGCAGATTTTGGCATCAAGAGCCACTAAAATCATTGCAGACAAGATGATTAGTGCAGCTGCTGAGTCAATTTATGATTTAATCATCCTGCCAGTGAGTAATATTGTTTTTCACTTGTATATTCTTTTTCTCATTTCCTCACTTTGTGCCAGTCTAATTGTTCAATAATAAGCTTATGATTTCCTGTACTGTTTTTGACCCATTGCTTGCTCCAAAATATAAAGGGAGGTATCTTGGCGGCCGAGCGGTTCCAAAAGTCCAAAGTTTTGAAGAAATTGCTCGAGGAACAAGAAACAGCCAGAAGAATATTGGGCGCCATCTGTTCTTCATCTACAGTCCTTCAGAAACAAGGATTATTGAAGGTAAATGAGCACCTCATTGCATGCTTGTTATGTGATAATGGATGGTATAATAAACAAAATTTAACCTTCATTTTTATATTCGTAAATGCTATCCAGTGCTATTCACCCCTTCTTACCAAATATGCTATTGGTGCATGATGGTTACGTAGTAAGAGACTAGACCAGGCACTAGAATAAATAAGCACTAGAATAAATAAGCTATCAGCTTCTTTTTCTTTCAGTACTATCTAATCTTGCCTACTAATCATGCCATTAATGTTAATGTAATATTTGAATTCGTACAATAAATCCTACTTGCTCTGTTGGAAACAGGATAAGCGAGTAACGGATCATCCGGCCGCAGTAAGCAATCTCGATAACGTGGTGGATGGTGCCCGAGTAGTTATTGATGGCAAACTAATCACTTGTAAGGGGTTTTCTACTGCAACAGATTGTGCACTGGCTATTGTCAGTAAGCTTTTCGGGCATGCAAGGGCTAGGAGTGTAGCCGAAGGTCTTGTTTACGAGTATCCCCGGGGATAGATTTTCAAACGGTGGAATGATTTTTACCCAGCTCAAATCCATAAGTAAGTCCATTAACATTTATGCATACCAATATTCTTGGATCTCAGAGACGGCGAGGATACATTTTGCTATGGAGAGGGATTTATATCCCATGGGGGAGCAACAGAGATTAAAAAATTCGAACATCCTGATGGTATTAATTCATTCTTGTGGTGGTTGTGATATTGGGTATACATTTTTGCTTAGGATGATTCCTCGGATGCAAGGATGGGACGGTTTATAATAGTGAAATAATGCAACTTCCATCGTCCCATCACACCATCTCATCTTTCTATTTTCTGGAATTAGTTGGGAGGCTCTCTTACGTAGTGTGCTTGCTGTGTCTGTCTTGCTGGGAGTGAACTCTTTGCCTGACTAAATACAGTTCTTATAGTTCTCGTCTTGTGATTGAAATGCTGTAATCAGTGACAGCCAAACCATGGATTCTTGTTCGTCTAGCACAATCAAACACTTGATTCTTCCGATTGCTGTTTTTTAGTAGTTATATGTTGCAGCTATATTTTTTTCTCATTCGCTCCTTGGTTGGCACAAGGTATCTTATGCCGACACTCTTTGCATGGGAGGCCAAAATTTGATGGCAAGTTTATTGGATTAAGGGCTCGTTTGACATAACTTTTGAACTCGTTTGGCTAATTTTATTAAAGTGCCTTTAACAGTTACAAGAGTTCTTAGAGAAAGCTGGTTCAATGTGACTTCTTTTACAAGTACTTTCAGAATAGGAAGTTTTTTTAAAAGTTAGTTTCTAAATAAAAATTATGGTAAATTTTTTCGAAAGTTCATCGTGAAAATCATGTCAAATTGGCCCTAAATTGGACTAATAGTATTGAATAGGACCACCCGGAATAATCCTATTAAAAACGAGTAATTGATGAGGTTTGTCAAATCTCTCATTCATTTGTGGAACTAGGTTGTCATTCTTTAATTCCTGGCGTGTCATATACAACTTTAGTATGAGAATCGTGTTACCAAGAAATAAAAGATGGGAAACTAGTCACACATTTCGCAAATGTTGGAAATCAAGACTTTTAAAACTCGTAAAATAATGTTATTTAACATGCTACTAAATTAGTTTAGGTGGTATTATAAGATAGACTCAATGAAATATAAAAAGACACGACTCATTTATTTGAAGTTTTCATTTAATACTACATTGGCGTCACTTAGATTAGTATTTTAACACTAATGATGTTAAATAGCATTACTTAAAGTATAAGATGTTCAAATTCATATAAATTTTAAAGTCCCTAAGATATCAACTTTCAAGTAGAAAGTACGAAAAAATTTCACAATTCGTCTCAAGAAATATTGTGGATGATAGAATTTTTAAAAATATATATATATATATTTCACAAATTTACATACACTTGGTCTATAATTTTACGTCCTAGAAAATTACTTTCGAGCTGGACACATTCCCTTAAAATAAAATATCTTTTGTACATTCTTATATTTAAAATAATAATATTATTCAATTCCTTGTACTTAAACTGTTAAACACCAGTTTAGTCATCCACTAAGTCCTTGTTTGACAATTATTATTTTTAAACTCTTTTTTTATATATTTATTTTCAATCACACATTCACACAATAAAATATTTTACACCTAAATTCAAAATTTTTTCTTACTTTTTAATTCCACGTTCTGCTAAAAATCATTACTAAAAACATTCCTTAATAATAACGATAATTGCATTTTTTTAAAAAAAAATTTTTTATATAAAAAGTCATTTTTGAATTTTGAGAAATAGAATAGGCAAAAGGGCTAAATGGGCCCCAACCCAATCCTTATCCACCAGAAAATATCTGGCTGACACTGGGGCCAACATATTATTAGCCGTCTGACGTGGCACATCAAACACGTGTAAAAAGCGTCTCCTTTGCTGCCCCCTAACACCGCTTCTCTCTACGTACTTTTGCAAGATTTTTTCTAATTTTCGTATTTCTTCAGCTAATTTTTGAGATTTTTTTTTCAGAAATTTAATACGCATTCAGTTAACCGGTGAATGGTGGAGAATTTTCGGCGTGTGGCGAGTTCTGCGATGACAGAGATTCTCTCAAATGAGTTCATCCCGTCGAACTCGGGTACATCTTCTTTGTCTTCTGAGAATTCCGAAGATAGTTTGCATCAGTCACCGGTAATCAGTGATTCCTTTTAATTTTAGTAACTATCCGCTTCTTACCGTATGCGTACATGTACATTTTTATTTTTTATTTTTGTTTTTCGTTTTTCGTTTTCGTTTTTGTTTGGTGGCTTGATGCAGTAATATATAAAATTAAATTGTTTGAGACCTTAAGAAGATAAGATCCTGCCGCGATGGTTGACTTGCGTTTATAGGTTGATGTAGTGTAATTGAATTTGAGTAAAAAATTACTGAAAAGTTCGATGTTTTCTCAGCAATTGTGGGGCGAGTAGGCGGGTGTATCTGCTGCTTGATAGAGGAGAATAAAGTGGATTTAATGTAGCCTTAAAACTTAAAAGAGGGAATGTTGGCTCTTAAAATGGATAAAGGCACACTTCTTATATTAAATCAAAACAAGTACATGAAACTTAGAAACAATCACTCTCAAAAATGATCAAAACATAGTCTCAAATATCATCAGAACGCACGCGCACAAAGAAAACTGATCAGTAAGCAACCTCTCAAAACTGATCAGACCACACACTACTTCACAAACTTATCAGAACATGCATAAAAAAATGAGGCAGCTCCATATTTAGACTCTATTGGCAGCAGGATTGGAGCAAGCAGCAGCATCATCAGACCAATAAAAATTGACCACATCAACAAGTCATCTTCAATTATATATGTCCGGCCAATAAGAATACTTTGCAGATTTCTTTGAGCATAAGAAAATCTGGTGGCTTGGAGTTCTTCATTAGGAAGGAAATGGTCAAATTTTGTGGCTGGACTCTTCACAATTAAGAAAAGCTTATCACTGGCTAACATAAGTGGCTAGCTTTGTGAAATTTCTGGGAAACTTGGCAAGAAGATGTGCAGATTTTCAACACTCCCCCTTAGCATGTACTTCTCTGATTTTATCTATCATACCAAGTGGTTCACAAAATTCTGCAAACTTAGAAGAATTTAGACTTTTAGTAAGCATGTCCGCAACTTGGTATAGAGTCATGATTGGCTCCATTTCTATTTCTTCACTTAGCATCATCTCTCTGAGAAAATGATAATGAACTTCTATATGCTTGTTCTTTTGTAATATACTAGATTTTCTGCTAGTTGTATAACTGACTGATTATCAAAATAAAGTTTCGCTAGGTAATCGATTTTCTGGTGCAAATCCTTTATTAGCTGCATTAACCATGTACTTTCTTGAGCCGTCATTGCCGTTGTTCTATATTCTACTTCAGTAGTTGAGAGTGATACTGTTGGTTGTCTCTTACTACACCAAGAAATTGGTCCTGAACCAAGGTGGAAAACATAGCCCATTTTTTACCGTCTTGTATCATGATCTCCAGCATAATTTGCATCATAGTATCCAATTATTTTGATTGCTCTTCCTTTCTTGTATAACAAACCAAAATAATGGTTTTCTTCACATACCTCAATATATGCCCAACAGCTTCTACATGAGGCTTCTTGGGATTTTGCAATCGACTTGCCACTCCAACAGCGAACGAAATATTTGATCTCGTTAGTGTCAAGTAAATTAGGCTTCCCACAAGTTGACGATACATAGTAATATCCTCCAAATTTTTGCCTTCATATTAGCATAGCTTAGCATTTAGCTCCATGGAGGCAGAGATAGGTTTGCAGTCTTGCATCCCGAACTTTTATAAGAGATCTTTTGCATACTTTTGTTGACAGAGAAATAATCATTCCAGTGTTTGTTCTACCTCAAGCCCAAGAAAATGTTTCAATTCTTTAAGTTCTTTCGTTTGAAATCGAATTGATAAATTTTCTCATACCAATTTGATTTCATCTTCATCATCTCCAGTAATTATCAAGTCATCCATGTAAACTAGTACTATTGCTAGTTTACGGTGTTTACCTTTACGTGCTATCACAAATAGACTTGAATTTGATGATACCACTGTGTACCCACCTTGGACTAAGAATTCTGCACCTTCCCATACCAAGCACGCGGTGCTTGTTTTAATTCATATGGAGCTTTTCTTAACTTGCAAACATACTCTACCTGAGCTTTATCTTCAAAACCTTGTGGTTGCTCCGTATATATTTCCTGATCTAACTCTCCATGAAGAAAAGAGTTCGACGTCTATCTGTCACAATTTTCAAGCTTTACTTGCTGATAGTGCTAGCAAAACTTGAATGGTGGTAATCTTAGCTACAGGGCTGAATGTCTCGTCATAATCAAGTCCATATTGTTGAAAAAATCCTCGAGCCACTAGCCACGCCTTGTATCTCTCTATAGAACCTTCTGGTTGAGACTTCACCTTATAAATCCACTTATAAGAAATGGGTTTGGTATCCTTAGGCTTTGGAACTAATTCACAGGTTTGGTTTTCTTTCAAAGCAGACATTTCTTCTTCTATTGCTTTTCTCTAATTCTTGCTTTTGGATGCTTCTTCATATGTGGCTGGCTCTTTTATGCTATTTTCTTCAAAGGCAGCTGCATTAGCATATCTGGGATTAGGTTTTCGTTGTCTGCTAGACCTTCTGAGCTGAGGTGTTGGACTACTTTCCTTAGCCCCTTCACTTGATGTTCTATGTACACCAGTTTCCCACGGGCTTCCAACTTTTCCTGGAGCTTCTTCTACGATTGGCTCATGTTCTTTTCCATCTACTGATGATGTCTCTAAGCTTTTGGAATCCTTCAATCTTTCCTTCATTTTCTTTGAATCTGGAAGTACGATTGCTTCAAGTGACCGCCAAGAAGAGGCTTCATCAAATAGTACATTTCTTGATGCATAGAAATGATAAGTGCTAGGATCACAACACCACTAGCCTTTTCTATTATCGTCATAACCAAAAAAAATGCACCTAATCGCCTTTTTATCAAATTTGCTTCAAAGGTAATCAGGCACGAACACATAGTAAAAACACCCAAACACTTTAAATTGGCTTACAGTAGGTTTGATACTCCATAGTTTTTCAAAAGGTGAGATGGACCCCAACCGTGGTAGCCTGTTGATCATGTAAGCCGCAATCTTCATGCATTCGGCCTAAAACTTGCTTGGAACATACGTAGCATGTAGCATGCTTCAACATATTTCTACAAGGTAACGATTCTTTCTCTCAGATACTCCATTCCGTTGAGGCGTATTTGGACATGTCACCATCTTCGAATTCTATTTTCTCGCAAATAATCATATAACTCTTTAGAAGTACGTTCTTCCCTATTATCTGAGCGTAGGCACTAAATCTTCATTCTTATTTTTCCTTCTATCTCACTTTTGAAGTTCTTGAATTTAGCAAAAATTTCAAATTTTTCTTTCATGAGGAAGACCCACACATACCTTGAGAAGTCATCAATAAAAGTCACCATATATCGATAGCCACTAATTGATGGGGCCAAACACGTTAGAATGAATCAATTCTAATGGTTCTCTGGCTCAGAACTTTGACTCTTCGAATGGCAGCTGATGTGCTTTGCCATATTGACATTTTGAGCAAACGATATCTTTTCAAACGTCAAGTTGAGGAAGTCCATTAAGTAATGACTTATTCATTATAATTCTTAGCTTTTGATAGCTAACATGTCGTAACCTTGCATGCCATAAATCCATAGTGTCATTACTTCGTGTCTTGTCAACATATGTTGATTCCGCTGACATAACATAGATGGATTCCATTTTTTGCCCATCCAAAATTGGTGCTCCTATAATATTCACATCTTTGCATACTTTGACATTATCAAGACCAAACACCATACAGTTTACCTGGTGTTGTCAGTTGTGATAATAACACTAAATTTTTCTTCATCCTTGGTATACGATAAACATCATGAAGCTGTACCTCATGTAGGCTGAGGCGTGGTCCTATCACCGTATTTCCTTCCTTTCCTCTTCTTTCATATCATAAAATAACTAGAGTACACACATATGGAAACTTGGCAATTATCAAAATTCAATAAACTCTAGTTATACTCTTGCCTAATTTACATGATTTACTTCCTTAACATGAGTGATAGGCAATCTCGAGTTATTAGCTGTTACAATAACCCTGTTGCTTTATATTCTGTCATATCAAACATTTTTTCTTTATCTCCAGTCTTGTGATTTGAACACCATGAATCAACAATCCAGTCTTTCTAGTAATCCACTTCTCCCGATCTATTTGTGTTGAGAGCCTTTTTTGCATTTGTTGCTTGGACAAAACTATGTTCAACAGCTTAATTTTCAAAATCTACTTTTTCTCCTTAGTAGACTCTATCATCAAGACTTATTGCAGCGAAATAAGTTTCAAAATTCCATTCTTCTTCAAATTTGGTCATACCTTGATGTTCATTTGACGTCACAGAGTTTTTTTGGGCAAACCTTCTCTTCAGTCGACAATCTTTTGCATAGTGTCCTTTACCACAATTATAACATGTGACACCAAAACAATTGTGCTGTCTTGAATAACGATCATCTTTTTGTTGGGTGTTCTGAGCTCCTCTTGGTAGTGCATCCTTTCATAGGTCTTCCATTGATTTTCTTTATATTTTCTCTTTGATGGTGCAACAACATTTCTACTTGGCTTTCCTCTTCTTTTATTACTAAAGAGCGCCTCTTCCTCATTCTTTAACGACGTTCTTGCTCCCTAACAGAGGGTTTCTTGGCTAGCTAAGATACTCTCATGGTTGTTTAGACCAGCCATGAATTGCCAAAACTAACCCGTTTACTCGGGTTTTAGGCCACGAATAATAATTCTCCGCATCCAGGGTTCATTGATTTTAGATTCAGAATCTAATTTTGAGATTTCGTGGCAAAGAGACTTTACCTTTGTAAAATATTGCCTGATGTACAAATTCCACTGCGAGATAGTCATCAACTTATTCTCTTGCTTGATCTAAAGATGTGCTTTATTAGTTCTAAAGAAGAGAGCTTCACATGCATCCCATATCTTCTTTGGTGTCTCCATATCTTTTATGTGCTCCAACAGTTCTTCATCTACTTTTTTTTTAGCACATACATAGCTTTGCCAACTTTCATATCCCATTTCTCAAGTGCTTGCACAAGGGGGTGTATTTTCGTTACCACCAACAACTCCCCATAATCGCTGTCCGCGCAAATAGGACTCTAAACATGTACGCCAATATTTGTAATTACTACTGTTCAACCTCTTAATACCTCCCGGGGTAGAAAGTAAGTTTGCCATCGTGGCCCATTATATCTCGTTGTGTACTCTTGAGCAAGCATGGTTACCAATCGTCTGGCTCAAATACCAAATGTTGGCTCTTAAAATGGGATAAAGGCACACTTCTTGTATTAAATCAAAACATGTTATTGAAACTCAGTAAAAATCACTCTCAAAATTGATCAAAACATAAACTCTCAAATATCAGCAGAACACAAACACCCACAAAGAAAACTGATCAGTAAGCACACACACACACACAAAGAAAACTGATCAGTAAGCAACCTCTCAAAACTGATCAGACCACACACTACTTCACAAACTTATCAGAACATGCATAAAAAAATGATGCAGCTCTATATTATACTCTATTGGCGGCAGGCTCGGAGCAAGCAGCATCATCATCAGACCAATAAAAATTGATCCCATCAACTCCTCATCTTCAATTATATATGTCCAGCCAATAAGAATACTATGCAGCTTTCTTGAGCATACGAAAATCCGGTGGCTTGGAGTTCTTCATTAGGAAGGAAATGGTCAAATTTTGTGGCTGGATTCTTCACAATTAAGAAAACTTATCATTGGCTAACATAAGTGGATCGCTTTGTGAAATTTCTTGGAAACTTGGCAAGAAGACATGCTGATTTTCAACAAGGAAAAACAACTAAGAGTCAATTTTCATTTTAAGATGTTAATTCCTTACAGGGCTGTATATGTTTGTTACGTTGTTTGATTGTGGTTTGTGGATAATTAAAACGTGTCGTGATGGTAAAAAAGAATTCAGATCATGATTCCTTTTGTTGGAATGTTGTAATGATGTCAAATACTAATTGGGTTTTGGGCTGTGAGGAGTGGTTACCGGTTGGTTACCTTTTGTATTTCTTTGTATTTAAGGTTATGTCCGCCCTGTAAAAGTGTTTGTATGGCTCTGGCGTTGCATTGCTTTTAATTGCTAAGATGAAACAAAAAGGCATTGCACTTCAATGTAAACTAGTGAAGACGTTTTCTGGAATTTTGTCAGGTTCGAAATTTAGTTGTTAGCTGAAGGTTTGAGATGAGTGATTAGGTCTACTTTTCTTTACTAGAATTGTACATAATATTTCTCTGAAAATGTCACCGTTAGAAAGATCCAGTGGCAGGATTTTCATTGTTGTATGGTTTTATCTTGTGGCACTCTGTTTTGATTATGATCATGTGTAAATTTGCATGTGCAAACTGTATGTTGTTACATTATTTAAGAATTAAATGCCCAATTTCCTTTGCCTTTCCGCGTGAAGACCAAAAACCAGGGGACCTGTTGAGGGATTCAGGATGCACTGAGGAGGCTCCCCTAAAGGATATTGATACCTAGCCTTTTTCTCCGAAAGAAGGAAAATTCAGAGATTTGCTCTAAAAAATATGGTGATTTTGAATACTCTATGCTATAAGTTAATTTTCAAGAACCATTGAAAAAATGGTTTGGAGAAGTGATCCAGTTGTAGCTAAAGCAGAAGCTCTTAAATGAGTATGGGAATGTCGAACTCACTCTTAGTTAAACAAGTGTCTTTTTGGCGGTTTGCAAACTTTAACATAAGGTTCCATTGACCTCATTGCTTCCTTATTAGGGAAAAACTGGGCCCACAGGAATGCTACAATTACATTATATGGTAACTCTAAAAAAGATAAATGCCAAAACTTCACTATATCTGCAGTAATTTTACAAACTAATTTCCCTTTTTCTATGAAAACTGTACATATTTGGGAAGAAAGTTTTCTCAGATTCCATTCTTTCTCCATGATAACCCTACAACATGGACAAATAAGACGCACAATTTGTATCTAGATTATTTGGAGGTGTCATTTGTTAAACAGTTGCAACAGTCAATGGGTTTGCTTGCATCATGCTCTGATCAGAGCAAGAGTGAGAGACATCTATCTCAAAAACGGCATGCTGATATTCATATTTCTCCTGCTCAGGTTGAGGAACTTATTCGATTCCTCATGACTTGTTCTATATTGTTGTATTCCCTTCTTAAATGCATGTCTAACTGCATATTCTTCAAAAGCAGAAGTTTATATACGTCATTTTCTTTATCAGTTAACTATAAATCAGGATGGTCGTTGGCAAAAGATCAATTGTGGAAGGAGTCAGCCTTTTTTGCATACTTCAGCTAGTACTCGTGATGCTCTTAAGAATCCATGGGAACAATGGTTTGGATGCATGTGTAACCAGTGTCCATCTGCATCAGCTGATTCGCAAGAATGTCTAGGACTTCGTAGTACAGAGACACACATAGCTGTTGAAGGGATCAAATCTCAGGGATTGACAACATGTTCACACCATCTTCCAGCGAGTAACCTATACACTGGTGATATATTTGACTTCACAATAGGCTAATTGAGCTCAACCTCGTGCATGACTTATCAGTTATCCCTTTTTCTTATTGTACCTATCATGTGCTGAGTTTGCTTCATAATTGACGTGAGTTGTCTGTTGTTTTTCTTTGTCCCATGATATTGGGAATGGAGGCATTTCTTCCATTTTCTTCAAAGGAAGTGAGGATGAAAAGAGAAGTGGGCAAAATCAGATTTGTTAAAAAAAAAAAAAAAAAAAAAAAAAAAAAAAAAAAAGGCACTTTTTTTTTTTTTTTTTTTTTTTTTTAAAAAGGATTCGAGATTTCATGTTATGTGGTGATAAATTCAAGATTTGTGTCAACATTTGCATTACTTGTGCTTTCTTGATTCCATATACATTTAACTGGAAAAAAATTAACTCTAAAAAAAAAAAAAAAAAAAATTTTTTTTTTTTTTTTTTTTTTTTTTTTTTTTTTTTTTTTTTTTTTTTTTTTTTTTTTTTTTTTTTAAAAAAAAAAAAAAAAAAAAAAAAAAAAAAAAAAACTGAGCTCATGTTTTATTTGCTATTGGTTGTTGCAAGCCTGCAGAAGCACCGTTCTCCTGTGTCACACTTCATTTCTCATGGATAATCTGCAGATACATATTATTACCATTTCTATCATTTACTCCCTTCCTTGGCTTTTCCATGCCACGCACATCTTGATACAAATGCGCTATTTTTGTGAAAAAATTGCCACATTCCTAAGTAATGTTTTCCGAACTGTCTCATTATATTTTCAGGTATGGATCATGATACATAATCGCTGTCTATCTGGAAATTAACGGAGTTAAACATCCATCTCAATTTTACTGGATTAGTTGATATGATGATGCAGGGATCTGCTTTCATAAATTGCTGGTTGCATACACCTGTTAGTTTTCTTGGTGAATGAATATTGTGCTGGTGTTGGCCAATTTTTAGGATTGATCAATAAACTTTTGCTTGAATTTCATGATAGACTGAAATTATAGTACTCTCCTTCTGGATACCATACTTCCATAAACAATTTTAATGATGTTTACTTTCTCTGAAGGTTTCAATCTGTGTGATTATTCATTTTTATACATTTTAGCATATATCAATTAAATTTTCTAGGATTTTGCTGAGTGTACAGATCAGAATTTTGTCGATGAAGAATGTCAAAATAACTCGAACAAGGAATCTCCAGCCAAAAGGTTGAAGACAGCTTTTTAGCAGACAATTCAAGCCATGATCAACTAATGTATAGAATTGATCTTCTTTCAGCAACTGTTGTGAGTTCACAAGATTGTAAAGCATTGTAAAGGTATCTTATTGATCCACGCGTGTTCTTTCAGACCGTACCATCTTGGAAATGTCCTATGGCAGATAATTCCGCTATTGATGAAGGAGAAGCAGAACTTCTTGAGCGAAAACTTTGAGAGCTTTCTTTATCCTTTGACATGATTCAGTTGTGGTGGCAAGCTTTTAATTTCTTCTACCAGATACTGGTGGTTAGAGAGGATGTCATCGGACAAAGTCTTGCATATCATGAATTCGTTTGTTTGATTAAAAGCTTGTTTTTGTAGATGTAGATGATACATTTCTAGGTAAAAACAAGTAGTAATCACCTCCCTTTTTCAAGAAGATATGCCACACAAGTTGCAATTGATTCCTACGTACATAGAAGAAATGCCATTTTTGGGTTTCTTGTGTCAATTTCATTAGAAATGTATATTTATATGTAAGTGATACATGGTTTCGTTTTAATGTTTTGCATCAGATTTGTGGATTTGACTTGTTTTTTATGCTTGAGCAGCATTTTACAATTATTGGGCCATTCATGATAGATGAACTTTGCAATACTCGGCTTACATTTCTTCATTATGTTTCAAAACTAGTTTGTCTTCTCATTGTCATAGCCGGGATAGTGGACAACTGTGACCTTATACAGGTTTGGCCGGGCTCGGGGCTCAAGTTTTTTCTCCGAGTACCTGAAAATGATGCATTAGTACGAGATTTTAACAGGTATGACATTCTAATTCTCTTCTTGTTTTGGTTCATCTAGGCAGAGGTTGGTTTGGTAATGGCGTGCAATTTTGCTTCTTCTGATCTACTTCTATATGGATCTTACAATTTATAGTATTTTTTCCCCCACAATGTGTGTTATGATGATTACTTTTTGGTCATTCAACTACAACCGTCAATATTTTTTACCCATATATATAACTACTTGATGCTCCCTCTATTATATTGACTTTATAACAATATTATATGTACATAATTTTTTTACCTAATTCTTTACTTACTACTCACTAGTAATGGCAACTGAGCAAGTTCGGGGCGGGGCGTCTCCACGCCGCTTTGCCCCGTGCCCAGCCCCACCTTAGGCGGGGTGGGGACGGGGCAAATTTTTGCCCCGTTTAATTTTTTTTTATTTTTTTACTTTTTTTTACATTTTGAAAGTTTCGAATTATGTTATTATTAGAGAATAAAATACAAATTCAAAATGAGTTTTTAACGGATGAATTGTTTATAAATAAAATTATTTTTATTTTTATTTTTTAATTTTTTCTTAACGGGGCAGGTTCGGGGCGGGGCGAGGCGCCTCCCGACGCCCCGCCAACCCATTCGGGGCGGGGTAAATTGCCATCCCTACTACTCATAGTAGGGGATGGAGACCATATTTGAGGATTTTTATATTCACGCAGGGCCTGCATGTATCGTGAGAGTGGGGGACAATTTTCAATACGTTCTATTCGGTACTAATGGAATTGTCCTTGACTTTAATGGGCACTCTTGCCAAAGAAGGTAATTTGCTCCCGATAGGCCCCCATTATTTCAAATTATAAATTTCTCTTTCTTATTTTTGGTCATGCAACTTTTCATAAAATAATTATACGTAAATTAAAAAAAATTTCATATTTTTTAATCACACGTTCTCAAAAAAAAAAAAAAAGGAAATATTATTTCAAAAATTATAAATTGAAATAATGGATGCCAGATGGTGTGAATATACGATATTTTATTCAATAAAAGAAAAGGATCTGAATGAAAGAATGAATGTTCATTATGAAAGCGTCACTATGCCAAACCTCAACCAATAATGATTATTTATCGTGCGATGTAAAGTGAGTGGAGCTGGTTTAGTTAGGCTCGTTACTACTTTTTGACTGTCGCAAACGGGCTTTGCTGAATCTGGGCTACTCCGATGGTGAATCAGGCCTTGCTTAGTCAGCGGCTAACACTTAAAATTTTGGTTATTCCTTATTGAAGGCAAGAATTATAATTTCACAAATAAAATTTAATTGATGTAATGTAGCCCTCGTTTGATATAAATAAAAATTAAATTTTTAGTAAATTTTAATAAAAATTAATGTAATGTGTGATTGAAAAGTTGTAAATCTTATAAAATATGTTGTTCAAATTAATTATTGATTTTAATTTAGATTTTAATAAACTTTTTTAGTGGAATAAAATAGCAGCATAATGCCCGTGTTTGGTGGCTTTTAATTTTTTTTAAGAAAAAATATGTTTTAAATAATCCCTGTTCTATTGCCCAGTTGTCGATCCACTTATAACAAGTGTGCCATGGTTAGATGTTCCTACGATCATCTCCTCGCCTTATAGTATTTTTCTGGAGAATATGCAGTTAAAAATAGGGCAAAATATTGAGTTTATATATAAAATATTTTATTGTGTGAATGTGATTGAAAATGAGTATAAGAAATAAATTAAAGTAAAATAAGTTAAACTAAATGCCGTGGCAAAATTATGCTTCTTTCAAACAATTGAACGTCTTTGTAATAATAAATAATGTAATTTTAAAATATAATGCAACTAAACTTCCATTTTGGTTTAGATGAAAATCATACTTTTAATAGATTTTGATAAAATTTAATTAAATATAAAATTAAAAAATTGATAAAAATTATAAATTTATAAAATATATAATAATTAAAAATGTACTTGAGAAAAATAAATTTTTAAAAATAGATCGGGCCCTAAATATTGTAACGAATGAATTCGACACAAGTAAACTCCTGAACTCTTTACAAAACCTCAAGAACCAATTCACTGTACAACACTAAAAGTTCTGTAGTTGAATATTCAGTTTCCTGAATTATCCGTAGCTTCAAATTCTATGGGTACCACGAATCAGAGGCAGAGTCCACGACGTGAAGCATCAGTATCCGACCCAAATTTTCCATCCGCATCATCGTTCTCAGCAAACAAGAAAAAATGGTCTAATTTTTTGCCCATCTTTGTGGGTCTTGTTGTGTTAGGTGAGATCGCATTTTTGTGCCGGCTCGACATGGCAAAGAACGTCGACCTGGTTAACACGTGGGCTGACTCGTTCTACCAGTTCACCAAGTCGACGACGTCGTCTTGGTCAACGGTTTCTTTAGCCGATGAAGCTTGGTCGGGCATTGGTGGCGGTGGACTTAACGATCCAGGCTCCTCGCCCCAGGACAGATGCGAGGCGTGGTTGGAAGAGGAGGATTATGTTCCTTATTCTAGAGATTTTAAGAAAGGGCCCATTCTTGTCAATGGAGGTAATGAGGTATGTATCTATAAATATCTCAAGTTATACTAATTTTTCGTATTCTGCAGGAATATTTATGTTTTATTTTATAGATTTTTTTTTTACCTGTTTTTGGAAATTCTGGAGATGTTGGATAATTATGTAGATACCCAATCTTGTTTTGTTTGATAAGTAGTCAAGGATATATGAAAATCATTCTTCTTTGCATGCATTTTTTTGTTGTTTTCGTTTTGCATGACATCTGTACTTGCAGGGGAGGATCATGGCGATCATTTGTTATTACAAGCCAATATGATTGCAACTACGGACTACATGTTAACATCATTGATTATATGTCCATAAGATTCATTAATGACAATGACGTACTTTCTGAAATCTATGTTGCCATTTGTAGGAGGATGATCAGTGTGATCAAATGAAATTAACCATTAAGCCCCTGTTTGATAACCATTATTTTCGATTTTTGAATAGTGATTTTTAGGAGAATGCCGGGTTAAAAAGTGAGAAAATGTTTTGGATTCACGTGCATAATATTTTATTGTGTGAATGTATGGTTGAAAATGAGTGCATAGAAAAAAGAGTTTTCAAATAATGATTGTCAAACAAGGCCTAATAGCAAATCTTAACTTGCTTTCTTTAATCTGAATCCATTGTCATTTGAGCCTTCTCTTCTACTCAGTTATCTATAAGTTTGTAATGGTAAATATTCTGGTGGCTTTCTTGTGGAACCTTTACACTTTTTGACTTCTATAACGTGTTTTTAGGAGTGGAAGACCTGCGCTGTGGGATGCAAGTTTGGTTTTGATTCTGGTAAGAAGCCTGATGCTGCATTTGGGCTTTCTCATGAACCAGGCACTGCTAGTGTGCTTCGCACAATGGAATCAGCTAGATATTATGCTGAGAATAGCATTGATATGGCACGACGGTGGGTAAGAACACTCTTTAGTGACTAACTGTGTTCAACGTTAAACTCGAATCATCCTAAAAAGTCCTATCTGATATTTATTTGGGATTGGGAAGCAGGAGTGATTATGCTTTTTAGGTAGATTAGTGACAGAAAACATTAGTTTCTCTGTGCTTTTCCCTTAGATATTGTCCCCTCTATTATGATAAATCAACTAAAGGAGCAAGAATACATACAGAAAGAGAGAGAGAGAGTCAAACAAAAACAAATAGAAAGCTACTTCACCACTTCTCCCGTTCGTTTCCTGCAAGAGGAGCTAAATACTGAACTATTAAACTAGTTTTTGTATTCTAAATCACATCTTGTACATCAAATACCTTTCGAGGTTCCATTATTTTGGCACTGTATTATAATAATATAAAATCTTGTACATGTACCCCCAAATATGGCCATTTGGCCTATATCAAACAAGCAGTTAAAATCTGGTTTTAAAATTGGGGTCCTAGTTTAAATTATTTTGGAAGATATGGAGATGCGGTTATAGAATAAAATCATAGGACTCTAGATCCTACTAGCAATGTCCAAAAATAAAAATAAAAAAATTATGTAATCTATTGAGGTTTTAGGTTTGTTTTAGTATCTTTTATGTTATAGATTATTAAAAAGAAACCAAGACAATGTTGCAACAACAAAAAATTAGCTTCAACATATAATTTAGCAAATTCGAAGGTTCTGTAATTGCACCCTTGATCGTTGTAGTCTCTTTAGAGATTTATTGAGCTAATTACATTATTCTTTGTTTTTTGCATTAGGAGGGGATATGATGTTGTCATGACTACTAGTCTTTCATCAGATGTTCCCGTGGGATATTTCTCTTGGGCTGAGTATGATATAATGGCTCCAGTGCAACCAAAAACTGAAAGTGCTCTTGCTGCCGCCTTCATTTCCAATTGTGCCGCTCGCAACTTCCGCTTGCAAGCTTTGGTTGCACTTGAGAAATCAAACATCAAAATTGATTCTTACGGTGGTTGTCATAGGAATCGTAATGGAAGAGGTGAGTATATTGGCTTGTTTGTTTAGAGCTGAAGAAATATTAATGGAAATTTTGTATGGCATTGTATAGGCTATGCAAGGTTAATGTAGAATTTTCTTTGCATATTGTCTTCCATATTCTAGAGCAATTTATGTGTGCATGGTTGATCTATGCTGATATTTGATTTGTAACTGCTGGGGCAAAGAAATTTTATAAATATGATTATATTGATCTTTTACTCTAGTTGATGCATCTCATGTGTATCTGTATGACATAGCTGTACGAATTTGACAATTTTTCCTGTGCACTTATTTGCAGTGGAGAAAGTAGAAACTTTGAAGCGCTACAAGTTTTGCTTGGCTTTTGAGAACTCGAATGAAGAGGATTATGTCACTGAAAAATTTTTCCAGTGTCTCGTAGCTGGTATTATTATTTATTTCGTCTCGTTCCTCTCTTTATTATGGATGAGCTAATTGGTTTTAAACTTGATTTGGTATTTCATTTTATTTTTCTTTTCACCTGTTTAATTTAGCTTGTGAGATTTGGTGCAAAATATACCTTCCTCTTTCTGGCATTACATTTCTGATCTTCTGGTGCTGATGAGTTTGGTTTCAGACTGTGTAACAGTTCTCTGTCTAACATAGTTCTCAAAGAAATAGAACCAAGAATTTATGTCTGTAATGTCAATGTTCGGTTGTGAAATTTCCACCGCTTTTTACCCCCAACAGAAGTTGAATTTACCGAATATTTTTTTTTACTACTACTATTTTCTTAAAATTCGTATTCAAAAAATCCAAGTTGTTAACTATTAAATTAAGTGTTTAAATTTTTTATGATGCTATTATTTGATGAAATGACTGCAAAAATTGCAGGGTCTGTTCCTGTGGTCATTGGTGCACCTAATATCCAAGATTTTGCTCCTTGTTCTGGTTCACTGTTGCATATCAGGGAGCTAAAAGATGTTGATTCAGTTGCCAAGTCCATGAAATATCTTGCTGAAAATCCCAGTGCATACAATGAGTCATTACGGTTAGCAATAGATTGATGACTGTGCCATTCTTTTTGTTAAACTTTTTCTGGCAACTGTACAGAAAATAATTAAGTTCGTTGGTGTTCTTTTTTTCTAGTCTGTTTGTCTCGAGTATTTTTATTTTTTTATTATTATTTTTTTTTTTAACATGCAAATTTGCATGTCATTATGTATTCGCTATTTGAATTTTCTTCTCGCGGAACAGAAGGGAGAATATTTTTTACTTGTGGAGGGGTTCATCTCAACTGGGTCATTTTTGTTCAGGTGGAAGTTTGAAGGGCCATCTGATTCTTTTAAGGCGCTTGTTGATATGGCAGCAGTTCACTCATCTTGCCGTTTGTGCATTTATTTGGCTACAAAGATCCGAGAGAAAGAAGAGGAAAGTGCAGAATTTAGAAAACGGCCCTGCAAGTGTATCACTGGCTCACGGACTACATATCACATTTATGCAAGGGAAAGAGGGAGGTTTGAGATGGAGTCCATTTTCTTAAGGTATTTATTTCTATTGTACAACCGTACATAACAACTTCTGTATGGATTTGTTATAACATAGTCTTGTTTATGTACTAGCTGAATTCCAAAACACCTACAAAGTAAGAAAATCCTAGTATTCATAAAATGTTTGACCGAGTATGAAGCAGAACTGCTAAAAAAGAGAGAATTTAAAGAAACATTCACTTCTTCATTCCTGCTTTTTTTTATTGTATGATCAGCATCCAATAAGGTGCAGTAAAGCTTCTTTTTTGTTCACCATCTCGTTTCTTTACCTTTCATTTTTAGTTGACCTACTTCATGTTATCTTATCTGTAAATTGGTAATTAGTAGATTCTTCATCATGGAAATGCCTTGCTAATAGAAGTAACTGTGTATATTTTCATCTAAATTTGCTTTCTGAAGACCGTTTTAAGTTGTATCATAGATTTTCTCATGCGACATTTCTGTTCAGGTCGGACAACTTGACCTTGGAGGCCTTAAATTCTGCCATTCTTTTGAAGTTCAAGTCTATGAAACACATACCGATTTGGAAATATGAGAGACCCGAAAGCATAAGGGGAGGGGATGAGCTCAAAATTCACAGAGTATATCCTGTTGGAATGACACAGAGGCAGGCATTATATACCTTCAACTTTAAAGGAGATTCGGATTTCAGGAATTACATAGAGAGCAACCCATGTGCCAAGTTCGAAATCATTTTCGTATAGGTTGACATCCTGATGCTTTTGGCTTGCATTCATGGCTAATTTCAGCTTTCCCGACTAAATTCTGAGAAAAGGGGTCTTGGCTGGGTGGATTGCTCGTCCCTTCTCACGTTCATTTTTGCAGGAGTCCCTGTTGGTGCATAGCTCGTCTTTTCTCATCTACTTACCACATTGTATCCATTATTTTATTTCACTCAATATAATGGAGATGTATAAAGGTGAAATAGGATATCTCGCAACCGCATTATGTTAGCTCTAGCCTTACACGGTGACATTATGTTAGCTGTAGCCTTACACGGTGACATCGGATTAGCAATGTTATTGTGTGTCTGAGATGGGGTTGAAGTTCAGTGAGTAAAGCTCACAATGATTGTTTGACTCTGTCATTTTAATTCATCCTGCATTTGTAGAGTTGAGATTTGCTGTTTCGAGAATACATTTTTGATACCTTAGTACATCATTTCTTCTTAACAAATGAAGAACAACAATGGTAGGTGTACAGGTAGGGTTTGAAACCCCTACCGACACCTCACAATGAGGGGATAGGTTATTTTTTGGCCATTTTTTATTGAATTTGTCTAGTGGTATATAATGGGGTGTACCGAATGGTGTATACCCCACTCACATGGGTGTGGAATCCACGTGAAAGAAAGGATATTTTATTCGAGTGGATCTCTCGCTCTGTGAGTGGGGTGTACACCATTAGGTACATCTCGATGTACCACTAGCAAAATCGTTTTTTAATTAGGTGGCTCCACGTCATTGTGAGTTTTTTGATAGGGTTCTGTTAACCCTGCTTCTATACAAATAGAAAAATTGAATGAAAAAATGCCAAGATATAATGTCCCAAGTTCTCAAAAAAATGTGTTGACGTCTCGATGGTCGGGACTTAGAACTGCGTTGTGGCCATTCTTAGCTAGACAAGATGCTGGTATGAGAACATCTGATGATAGCCATCAAAATCAATTAACAATGATACTTGACCACTACTAGCTATTGCTTCATGAAAAAATTAGACCTTTAAACTATAAGATATATTTTATATTAAAATCTATCGACTTATAAGTGCTTATTGAGGAGTGCTTAAATTATAATTTAAAAAGCAAATGTCATAGAATCTGTCAATAGAAAGTAGATAGTACTTGTAAATTTTATGAAATGTGGGAATAAAAATTAAAGGAAAAATTTCATAAGGAAGAGATTAATGATGATACATTTCAAAAACAAGAAAACAAGTTTCAAATTTCAAAAATCAAAATTTTATTAAAAATTATTTATCATTTAGTCAATTAATTAATTATTTTAGTAATTAAATATATTTAAGTCACAGATTTATATAATTTGGTCACAAATTAACGATTTAATTCGCCACTTATTATTTTTTGGTCACAAATCAGAAATTTGATGTCACAAATTATTTTACGGTCACAATTCAAAAAACCTACAGGTCACAGTTTGTTCGTCGGTCACAAATCGAAAATTTTATAAGTTACGATTTATTTATTGGTCACAAATCACAAATATTACAAGACACAACTTCTTATATAGTCACTAATTATCAAATTATTGGTCACGGATTAACAATTTTTTAAGTCACAATTTATTTTTTTCATTGGTCACTTATTATTGATCATAGATTAACCAATTTAATGATTACAATCAACCAAATAATTTGTGACTACCACCAAAAAAATAATGCGTGACCTAGAAAATATTATTGGTCACAACTCATTTACTCGTTGCAAATTATTGGATTAATTAGTTACGATAAATTTTTCGACAATTTAATCAATCGTGAGTCACAATTGGGAGTCACAGTCACAATTTTCATGTTACTTATCCAATTGTGAATCACAATTCACAATTGGATTTACTCGTTGCAAATTATTTGATTAATTAGTTACGATAAATTTTTCAACAATTTAATCAATTGTGAGTCACAGTCACAATTTTCATGTTACTTATCCAATTGTGAGTCACAGTTCACAAGTGGAAATCAGTCATAGTCACAATTCTCATCGTCATCACCATCACCATCACTATCACCATCACTATTGCCGCCACTCGCCACATACCAACACCACAATTGGGAGTCACAGTCCACACAAACACTAGATCCGTCAAGTGCCGCCACCACAACACCTCAAACAACCCATTGCAACACTTCAAACAGACCACCACCACCCTTTGAATATTGCCAGTGAACTCCCACCGCCAGATCAGCCACCCACCACAACACTGTCACCACACAAAATCCACGATCGCCATAGATCAGGGGATCTTTTAGCGCACCACTTCTACACGAAATCTACGATGCTGCAACAATTGCAGCACACCACCACCATACAAAATCCACAACGCTGTAACGAAAGGGGAATCGCCGTCGCGCACACATCACCACAGCCTCACGCCACCTCTGTCGAATACATACGCCCAGACCCACGTACACACACACATCTCGCGACAATGATGCGAGCTGCACCGCCGACAAATACACAGCACACCACCACAGCCTCACGCCACCTCTGCCGAATACACATGCCCAATCCCACGTACACACACACACACATCTCGCGACAGTGATGCGAGCTGGCCACCGACAGAGATGGAAAAAAGAGAGGAATCGCCAATAATACAAATCACACCACCACAGCCTCACGCCACCTCCGCCGAATACACACGCCCAGACCCACGTACACACACACACATCTCGCGGCAGTGGCTGAGCTACGCCGCCAGCAGAGATGAAGGAGAAAAGAGAGGGAAACGCGCAGCCGATGAGAGAGAGAGAGAAATGCAATTGAGATTGGGCAGAGAGAGATAGGCGATAATTAGGTTTGAAATTATTAATTTAATTAATTTTTAATTATATTAATTAATTAAAAATTCTGATTTGTGAAATACTAAACATGACATCTTATTTATGAAATGTGGATTTTTAATCTATTATAATTTGTAATTTCCACAAAATTAAAAGTAATTATAATTAAAACTTAACCAAACATCTTACATATATAAAAGAGGCAAACTCTTCCACGACACGTATCGCAATTTCCCATCATCATTCTCTAATTTTTTTAATTTTTTTTTCAGTCTTCCATTACTTCACACAATATCACTTCCCCACTCCACGAGCCCATACCAAAAAGCTGCACTGACGGAATGTACTTCACGCAGCGCCCCATACCTCTTTGCTCCTCAATTTACTTCACACACCGCTCCATATCATGCAAAATTTCCCCCGCATAGGATTCCGCGTTAATCTTTGCAAATTCCATTGCCCTCTCAGAATTCCTCTTCATTAAGATCTGCGCAGTGGTGATTCCAGTTGTAGCAATATGGGAAGTACTGATTTTCGTGATGTCCGAATGTTTTGAGTGCCAGCAATCGTATACTGCAGGAAGAAATTAGTGTTTTCTCTTTATAACAAATTAGATTTTGAATAACTTTATTTTTCCAATTACTGTGAATGAAATAGAGGCATTAGATGAATTGTTTAAGAAGTTTAGTTCAATTATAGATGATGGATTGATACATAAGGTATGACTTTCCCTGAAATGATTTATTTTCAACTAAGGTTTGAGCTTATACATATTATTTTAATTTGAGCTCCTACTAATGGGTTATATATACTTGGATTTTCAAGAGATATTTATGTGCTAATACTCTTATTTGTGCATCCAGGGAAGAAGAGATTATATGAACCTGAGTGGGGAAGTAACGAACGCCGTGAAAAACCTTTGTCCTTAATAGTTCTCTTGAAGCAATCTCCAATTCCTTTATATGGTTGTGTTGATTTAATAGAAGATTTTTCAGGCTTTTTTTTCTTGTAAAGTTTTGTATAGGACTCGACTATCCATATGCATCTTACTTTAGATTTTGCCAGACAAAAAGATTATTAGACGGGATCAGGAGAAATGGGTAGATGCTAGATGTTGAGTAATTAGTCGGATATTAGGTATGCGCTCTTCTCCCACTTCATTTTAAATTTTAAAATGTCTCTCTCTCTCTCTCTCTCTCTCTCTCTCTTTCTTTTTTTTCTTTCTTTGCATATTTCATTTTTCATTTGTGTTTCCGGAAAATCTGGTGGAAATTTTGTGCATTTTTTGTAGATTGGATGGATAGTGTTAAGAAAAAAGAGTTTATAATGTTGTTTATGTGTAATGACGTTTTTTTAAACCCCAAAAAAAAAATTTATATATATATATATATAAGGAAGCTCCGAGCAGCATCTCACGGAGCAACAGCTCCGTGAGAATAATTTGTTTTTTTTTATTTTATTTTTAAGTAGTGGGCTTTGTTTTGGGCCTTTTTTTTTTTTTTTAAATAGATACTATCCAAATACACATTTTAATTTTTTTTGGCTAATAGATAGTAGGAAGATTTTTCTATTTGACCTATCACTATTCCATTTTGTCGAAAGGTCTATATTACCCTTAATGAAAAGAGTCTTTCTATATTGCAACATATATCCTAATCTTTTAGACATTTTATCTTATATTTACCCTATTTTGAATATTTGAATATAATTTTATTCTATGATCTAATAAATTGGAATAATTTGCAACATATTGTTCACATTTATTATTGAATATATTATATTCGTCAGAAGATGCATCCATATTTTCTAATTGAGAATACACATTTTTTTATTACTTCTATCATTCTTTCTAATAAATTATCCAATCCTTTAATTGTATATCCTGACATTTATTCAAATGATCATCAAATCATGCAATTAATCTCTACGATTCTTTAAGATCTTAAAAAGATTCATTCTAATTTTAGCAAAAATTTAATAGTTTTACCTTAGGTTTGATCTGGAATTGTATTCTTAGAATCGAGAGACCTTCGAGCTCTGAATCTATAAACTGCTTCCTTCAACGGCCTCCTGCCTTCATGGAATTGTTACTATTTCAGCTACTTGCTCTCACTGTATCAACTTCTAAAGAATGAAATCCTAGACTTCTGCTAAACAAAAACTTTCTTTTTGTTAAAATAAGATGAAATTTTTTTATCAGATCTATCAAGAATCTATGGGGATAAAGATTTAGAAACTCATATTCATATAAAAAATATTGGAGTTTTATTTCTATCAAAATTTATACAAGACTTCTATTTGGTACAAAGGGATTTCCAGAAAAACTGGTTTTTCAAACTAGGAATGGGTTACAACTTGAGATTTCTAGATAAGATGAGATGATATTTCTATATGGCAATGTCTCAATTTATACAAGTTTATGAGACACTATTACATCATTGAGTATATCAGCAAGACACACTTGCCTCTCTATTTTTTTCCTCTTTGAGCCTACATCTTCACATGTTGCTTCAACTTTTTATTCAAAGAGCATCTTTTTTTATTATTGCTCTTTATCATCAATATCTTCACATGCAACTGTATTATTGTTCTCCATACACATTTGACAAAGGTGCTATATTATTATCCTCTTCCTTCAT